GAGAAATGTATAATCCACATAGACAGTAATCCACACAGCATTGTATATGAAAGTCCATGTATTGAAGAAATCACATTCAGTGAACCATCCAACATAAAGTATCTTCCAAACAGGAACATTAAAGAATTAACAGTCTTGTTGCATGCCTCAGTGACATGCAACACTTACAGTCTGAGCTCTCTCTCTGCAGGAAATCCACACCCCTCTCTATTCCACAAGTGTTCTCTCTGTCTGATGACCTCATCCTCAGTGCCCAGAGAGTATAGCGGCCATATTGGAAAAGGGCAAAACAAACACTGCATAACAGAAATATACACTGGAAAATGGGCAAAGAAATTATCACATCACTACAACAGTATAACATAATTCTTGTCCCTATAGAAGGAGCCACTATAGAAACCCACTGGGCTTTAAATATGTCTGCCTTTGTTCATCTCCATTACAAGTGAGGTGGTGGGATTAGTAATTTACACAAGAAATCCATTTTTGTTTCCATTTCATCAAATAGGACTTTTCTGAAAAGATCAACAGGTATTTTCTGCACTTGCTAAAAATGATCCTAGCCTGAAAAAAGAAAACAATGGCAGCCACCACAAATAAAGATTTGTAAGCTGCAATATATAACATTTTGGTTCTTGGGTTTAGATATGCTTTAAGTTAACTTGTATGTTGTAACAAACCATAATGGAATAGCCAGGTGTAAAGAACACCCTAATGTTTTAATATGTGAAGGGGGAAGTGCCTTGAATTTGTAACTGTACCTCTTATAAAAAAGCTGGAAGAAGATAAGCAGTTTACTGTGGTTGGAAAAGGGTAATCCCATCTATAAAGTGTACACTACATTTTGCACAGAGAATTATTGACAACTTGGGCTTAGTGTTTAAATCCTAATGTAAGCAATTTTGTCACTGCTGTGCTTTCCGAAGAAGAACTGTTTTCATCTGGGACTTTTTCCTTTGTGTTCCTCTGTAAGGGACTGTGATGCTGTTGACTTACGCCAGAACTTTTCTCTGACTAGTACTTATTTGACTCTACAGCTCAGAAGTACTAATTTTCATTTATCATGTTTGTTGAATTGTTTAAATTTAAAGGGTCCTTACTGTGGTTCAATGTTGTAATATATGGTTTTATTATAGCAGAGTCTAACACCATGACTTGCAAAGCAGATGCAAGTTAGAAAATCTATATCATATTTGGTCACCACTGAACAGTCATTATTGGCAGAATATATCATTTGAGGTCAGCCCTACTAAACTCAAGCCCATATTTACCATTAATGGATTGTACCGCATGCCACCTTTATATGTAGAGTACAGCTCACTAGTGCTACCGCATATATCCACAGACTCTGATTGCATTCTCTTTACTTTATTTCTAGCAGCACTGAAAATGTGAGGTCATGGCCACCCAAGCTGAGACTGGGATGGAAAGTCTCAAGGAACATGCTTACAAGTTATGTGTTAGTACACCTAGAAGCATAGGACACATTGGGGTTTATTTACTAAAGCTGGAGAGTCCAAAATCAGACTCCCTTCTGCATAGAAACCAATCAGCTTCTAACCTCAGCTTGTTCAATGAAGCTTTGGCAATGAAACCTGGAAGCTGATTGGTTTCTATGCAGAAGGGAGTCTGATTTTGGACTCTCCAGCTTTAGTAAATAAACCCCATTGTCTCACTAGTCTAGTAACAGTTTGGTTCTAAGTGCACAAACCCAAAGCAATTGAATTTTGAGTCAACTGTGTGATGGGCTATAATGCGCAAACAGTAAAGGGTAGCACAGGTAACAACAACTAGGATCAGTGTTGCACTGCCATCATTTTATGCAGCATGATACTGTATGTGTGCTACGGTGGGCTCTGTTCTAAAAAAACCTAATGCAAAAATCCAGCTTTGATTTAATTATGTGTCAGTATAGTTTTACTATTAGGCTTTTCCAGTCTTCTTAGAAAGCCTATCCTACAGTGCTTACTTCTCGGAAGTATCCCTAATCTTCTGCTCTGTGCTTTGCTTCATTTGCTTTCGAAGATGTTGCAAGTAGTTTTCTTTGAGAAAGGTTTCCCAGGAAAGGAGAGCAATTTCCTCATTCTTTTCTAGTTTTTCTTCTAATAAAATGACAGTATACAGCAAAGATTAGATACATACAGAAACTACACCACAAATTGATGATAAGGGCTGTTGTGTATCTTTGCTTTTTTTGGCCTGTAGAGACCATTTTATTATCCAGATACTCTTATGTTCCCAGAAAGTAGAAATACAAGGGCAAAGGATGCACCAAAACTATCAGAAACAAACTACAGCTAAAAACAATCAAGGGCCAGGCAAAGGACAGTATTAACAACAAATGGCTCTAGGATGAGAAAAGGCTTGGTGAAGAGGCACATGAAATATTGACCAACTAAGATTTCTGTTGGGAGAGTAGTTTAAATTTAAAGATCATTAACTAATGTTCATGTACCTGTTCATATGGCTCTATTTATCATAATGAAATTTATCTTGAATACTTACCCTTCCAGCAGCACCCCCTGCTGTCTTCTTCTGGCTGGCATCTCTCCTCCCAGTGCCCACTTGCATCTCTGTGGCTGGGTAAATGGGATGTGGTGCATGCCAAGTCTGCCATCTGTACTTCCCCCATATCCTGTCAGTTGTTGGGCAATTTGGACTTATTTCACCCCTCTGGCTCAGGATTGGTCCAAAGCACAGAAGGCACCTTATTAAACCCTACATGCCCATGCCTGCATCACAATACATATATTTCCTCTTTCCCTTCTGTACATTCAAAAGGCTTTCTAAGCAATTCAGAATATAGCCTTGCTAGATAATTTATCTTCAGCTACAGATAAGAATACCAGCTACAGACTGGAACACATTGCTTCACAGGAAATAAGGGAGGGGGGAAGTGAGCTGATGACCTTGTTTTTGCAAACAAGGCTGTTAGAAATGTTAAAGTTTAAAGGGGAACTCTGCAATACTTGGGTGCTGCCACATTGGGACCTCCCTTCTAATGTGTTTCACCTGAAAGGGCTTACATAGAGTAAGCCCTTTCAGGTGAAACACATTAGAGGGGTAAGCCCTTTTGGGTGTAACATTTTAGAGGGTGGAAGTCCATAGGGCTGAGACCATCATAGTGATTGCTGACTTTAAAAAAATGGAGTCTGAGTGATGCTATTGGAGTGCGGAGAAGACCTCTGCTACATGAACAAATTCTCCAGTCTGTCCACTGCCTAACTAGCTGCTCCCTGTCCACATGTCCAGCGGTGTGTCTGCCATCCTACATGTCTCCATCACTGCATGGTACATCCTCTGTTTACTTTATGTCTGCTTGTTGCATTTTACAGTTAGAGCATATAGCTTTGTGTTTTATGTTTGGAGCAACCTAGTATTGGTAGGCCTACCTCCCTAAAGGAAGATGAAGTTACACTAGCCTGCCAATAACTCTGACTGGAGTGCCTGCATGCAGACTTTACAATACAGAGATGAAATAAAAACAGACGTGTCCTCTGATAAATGTGGAGTATCTGCAGAACATGTAACAATAATAATAATAACAATAAAAATAATAATAAACAAATATATTATACCGACAAATATTTCTGCCAGAGTGCAGCATATGCCATAGAGACAAACATCATTCATTCAAAGGTGAAACCCTAAAGCTGAACGCCAGGCACATACTGTAAATAAGCACAGTTTAAACACAGGTAAATAAATATATAAATTCTACAAGTATGCAACTGTAGTATCTGAATGTGTTTTAATACCAGCCTGTCATAATCTTCTGTTCAGTAAGACTCGGACTAGTGCCCAGTACACACGATAAGAAAATCATATGACATTTTCTGTACGAAGAGCAGTCGTTCGATAATCTGAACATTGGTACACAGCTTTCGAGGGCCGACAGTTCGTGCAACAAAATCCGATGGGACAAATGCAAAAAATTTTCTAGTATGATACCAGAACTAATGATTTTCATTTAATCAGTACAATAGCCATCCGAAAAAATCAGAAGGTCAAGATTATGTATGCTCAGAAACTAAAGAAGACATTACAATACAATACATTACATCACGCTCAAAGTTGTATTCTGTCGTATGTGAATTTTCGTAACTTTAGTAACCTCTTCATTTTCGACTAGCATCCAAAAAAAAACCGGACGATCATTCGTCCAAAATATTCTCATTGTGTGCACAAGGCAGAGGAGAGAGCGGCAACATTCTGAGTCAATCAGGCTCTGCTGCAGGTGCTGATAAGAAACATTCTAACATTGGGCAAAGCTGGCCATACACGTATAGATTTTTTTTTGAGAATGTTCGTTTCAAGAACATTCATTTGTTATTCTAATCGTTAGTGGGGTCAAACTGATGTTTGTTTTCTACAGCAGTGACGGGAAAATTTGAAGGGGCAGGAAGAAAAACCTTTCTCGATCAAACACATTTTCACCCAGTGTATGTGCTTATCATTCAGAAACTACATTCAGGTTAAAAGCAAAAGACAATTTTCAAACAACATTTGTCCATTCATTGAATGTGCAAAGAATTTTCGTACGACTTTCCTAACTAATATTCTAGTTTGAAAATCTACATGTGTAATGTTCCTTTATTGTCCAATCTGAGGATGTGAAGAATGGGAAGACTAAAGCCTAGAACACACGATAAGAAAATCGGACAAAAAGAAATGGTTTCCATAGCAATCCTCCGATAATCTGGTCGTTAGTACACATCTTTTGAGAACCAATGACGACAGTTCATGCAAAATGATCTTTTCTCATTAGGTAGGTAACAGAACAAACGATTACTGAATTCATCTGTAAAAAATTGAGTGACCAAGACCACACATGCTTGGAAATGAAAGATTACATTACACTACAATACATTACATCATCGTGGAAAGATGTATTCGTAACTCTAGTAACCTATTTGTTTTCCATATGAGACAAGCATGCAAAAACAAAAAATAATAATTCTTCTGATATTCTCATTGTGTGTACCAGGCTTAAAGTGTTACTAAACCCACAACAGTAGAATCAGTCTGCATAGTATATGCAATAAATCATGCTTGTTATACTCACTGTGGAACCTAAGGGGTTAATCCTCTGCATTGTGTAAAAAAAGATGTTTGATCCTGACTTCTCTGATCCTCCCTTCTTCCAGTGTCTCCCAAATGTCTCCTGATAGAACAGAGGCTGGGGGGCAAGATGCACATGCTCAGTTTGGTGTGTATTGCTATAGATTTTATTTCTTGGGAGAGTGCATGTGGTCAGCATAGGGCCGATCAGCACTGTCCAGACAGAGGACAGGGGTTCTGCATCCTTGTACAGCAGAATGAAAACTCCTCCTGCAAGCTGTAACCAGTGCTCTGCTGGACAGTATTACTATTATTATTATTATTATTATTACATCGAGTTTATATAGCACCAAAGGGTTTGCTCAGCGCTGTACAATAGAGGGGGGGACAATACATAAAACAGTACAGCAACTACAAACAGCACACGAGGGGTTAGAGGGCCCTACTCTTTCGAGCTTACAATCTAGAAGGGAGGGGGTAGTGGTACAGGGGGAAATGGCTGTGGGGGATGGAGTGGTAGGAGGAATGAAGGAGAACAGCTGTTAGGTGAGGGTGGGGTAGGCTTCCCTGAAGAGGTGGGTTTTCAGGGAGTGCCTGAAGGTGAGGAGGGAAGGTGACAGTCTGATGGATTGGGGTAGTGAGTTCCAGAGGATGGGGGAGGACCTGGAGAAGTCTTGCAGTCGTGCGTGGGAAGAGGAGACCAGGGAGCAAGATAGAAGGAGGTCCTGTGAAGAGCGAAGGGTACGGGTAGGGTGGTACCTGGGAATCAGGTTGGTGAGGTAGTTAGGGGCAGTGTTGTGAATGGCTTTGTAGGTCAGAGTGAGTAGTTTGAATTTGATGCGTTGGGCAATAGGGAGCCAGTAGAGGGATAGGCAGAGGGGGGTGGCAGAGGTGGAGCGGTTGGTGAGGTGGATGAGTCTAGCCGCTGAGTTCAGGATGGTCTGAAGCGGGGAGAGCCTGCACTGGGGTAGGCCGGTGAGGAGGGAGTTGCAGTAGTCAAAGTGTGAGATAATCAGGGACTGTACAAGTATTTTAGTGGTGTCTGGGGTAAGGAAGGTGCGTATTTTGGCGATGTTGCGAAGGTGGAGCCTGCATGTGTTTGTAAGTGATTTGACATGAGGTTGGAAGGAAAGGTTTTAGTCCAGAATTACGCCAAGGACTTTGGCTTGCGGTGCGGGATTGATGGTGGTGTTGTTGGTAGTGATGGATAGGATGGGGGGGGGGGGGCGCGGGCAGGGGGAGGTTAAGCTTGAGGAAATGGAGCGACATCCAGTCTGAAATGTTGTTTAGGAGGTGAATGATGCGGGCGGAGAATGTGGGGGTGAGGTAAGGGGTGGAGAGGTAAATTTGAGTGTCATCAGCGTAGAGGTGGTAGTTGAAGCCGTGTGAGTGTATGAGTTTGCCAAGGGAGGAGGTGTAGATGGAGAAGAGAAGGGGTCCAAGGACGGAGCCCTAGGGGACCCCAACAGAGAGGGGGAGGGAAGGGGAGGTGGCACCGTTGTAGGAAACGCTAAAGGAGCGTCGGGATAGGTAAGAGGAGAACCAGGAGAGAGCAGTGTCTCTGATGCCAAGGGAGAGTAGTTTATTAAGGAGAAGGGGGTGGTCAACTGTGTCGAAGGCCGTGGAGAGGTCCAGGAGAAGGACAGAGTAGTCGCCTTTGGCTTTGGCGGTAAGTAGGTCGTTGGGTATTTTGAGGAGGGCGGTTTCAGTGGAGTGTAGGGGATGGAAGGCGGACTGTAGTGGATCAAGGAGATTGTTGTCACTTAGGTGGGCACTTAGGCGGTCGTAGACTAAGCGCTCAAGGAGCTTGGAAGTGAGTGGCAGCAGGGAGATGGGTCTGAGGTTGTTTGGGTCAGTGGGGTCCAGGGAGGGCTTTTTGAGTATGGGGGTGATGTGCACATGCTTTAGGGGGGAGGGGAATACGCCGGTAGAGAGGGAGAGATTGAAGATGTGGGTGAGGGAGCGGATGAGGGAAGAGGGGGGTGACCGGAGGAGTTGAGAGGGGATAGGGTCCAGGGGGCAGGTAGTGAGGCGGGCTTCTGAGAATACCCTGGTGACTTCCTCAGTGGTAGCAGGGCTGAAGTGCTCTCGTGGGCGGTAAGCGAGGTACTGAGTGGAGGAGGGGGGGGGGAGAGTAGGGAGTTGAAGGTGGAGAAGAGTCGGCAAGGGCAGGTGGAGAGGGTGTTGATCAGGTTTACGAAGAAGGCCTGCTTGGCGGCGTGGAGGGAGGAGGACAGTGATAGAGGTCACAAGACTGCTCTAACTGCTGATGAGAAAAGGTATTTAGCAGTTTATATTTACTAAAATAACTGCATTTCCATGTTGTGTGTACTGTGGGAGACCAGATATAGTGAATGCAGGGTCCTGGGTTTAGTAACACTAACTCAAGGCTGTGTAAATCTCAGTATAGGTTGGACAAAATTGCAGCTACTTTGACAAGTAAAACAGCTCCATATATATATTCCATACAGTATGTATTACAACTGTATATTTGGCTGTTTGCCTGGAATTCAGCTTTAGGACTCTACGAAGGGCAGACTAAAGAGAATAAGCTCTTACTAAGTTGCGTTTGTCTTCCTGCAGGTTCATGAAGAATGACATTTTTGATAAACTGATGCAGATGATTAAGCAGAATAAAAGGTGGAGGGGCAGGTGGCCGACTATGATACTCTTCAATTAAATCATGTCGCTGGAATTTCCAGATCTGATCTGTATGTTCCTGGACCTGCTGAAAAGTGTAGCTAAAAGATACAGCTAGATTAATTAACAGGATGAGAAAAATTATTGATTAACCAAATATTGAGTATAAAGATCTGTCAACAAATGATGATGCTGCATTTAATGTGTATCTCTATTTATACAAAACTGCAGAAAACTAAAAGTACAATGCAGTACACAGTGAATGATAGAGATGAGCAAACCTTAAAATCTGCTTCACCGACATTTGCTCCCACAAGCTGATTTATAGAGTCTATATTTCAGAAAGATTTCTGTTATTTTTATTTTTTTTTCTGTGTGAGCTACTGTATATCACAGAACATTTCTCCTTGAAAAGCAAAGAAGAATAGAACTTTTTGATAAACATTTTTTTTGTATGCACAGCTCAGAGAAGGGGAAGGTGGAATAAAGGTGAGTCAATCCTCTGACTTGTTCAGCTATGTGTGCAATTTCAGGTTCAGCTAAACAGAGGCTTTTGTTTTTAGCAAAACAGTTAAGGTTAGACTTATTCCCACATATGTGCCTGGGCACAGGGTCAGTGCTTCCACTAGGCAAACTAGGCAGCCGCTTATGGCGCACTGCCACCTAGGGGTGCCTGGGCACAGCACAGGTCAACACTCTCTGTATGGGATGCCACCACATCATAATTGATCCTTCAGCTGAGGGGAGCAGCGGCAGAGGGGAGGAAGAAAGGATAGAGGAAGATTCCGGGTGCCTGGGGCCAGTGTAGTAGCTGAGCTGCTGCTCCTTCCAGTGTTCCTCTCAGACTTAGTGCCTTACTGCAAGCTGGCTGGTGGCTGCTGATCACTGTGGAGTTACAGCCCTTCTCTTCCCATTCATCAGTGGAGGCAGAGGAAGGTAATGTCTGACTCTGATGTCTCGTGTCTGTGTGAGTGTGACCCGGCTGGCCGGACATCCATCACATGTGCAATGTGTCATTGAGTGATGACATCATCACAATCCCAAAGCCTGCTGGGCCTACTGATCGGTTCCAGTGTTGGTGGTGGTGTATTGTGTTAGATCTGTGTGGGATCACACAGTTTTGTAGTTCTGTGTGTGTGTGTTGGCTGGGCTGCCTACTGTCACAGTGTTTTATCTCCCCACATTACCTGGGGAATGCCAGCCTGGAAACTGTCAAAGTGTGGATCCATAATCCTCCTCTCACTGTAACTGTCACCCTGCCACTGCCAGCCATGGATACAGTCCATCCATGACACTGATTTTGCCTTTAACATTGGTGCTGGTGGCATCTTATGGCACTTTTTTTGCAAATGAAAAGAAATTAGCAGTTTCATGTTTTGTTGATTTAACATTAAACTGCTGTTTTTTCATTTCTTTTTTTTTGGAGGGGGCGCAAGTAGCTGGTCTTGCCTAGGGCACAAAATAGTCTAGCACCGACCCTGCCTGGACACCCATGCTTTAGCCTTTGCCTATTTATGTTGCACATAATGAAGTGATAGACTGCACTGTCTCATCTTTTTTAACGCGACCCTTCTACCGTATCATCACTATTATCTAATTTATCAATCATTATCTCTTCATTATCAAGTGGCCCAGAATCAGGCAGTAATCTTTATTATGACTAGTTCTGTTGTGTGGTAGCCATTGCTTCTCTTCTAAGAAGCAATCTACAGTGTATCATGTTTAAGAGGAAGGTTGACAGGCAGTTGGGAGGTACTACATATACATTTGAATCTCCGAATGGACATAGCAACGAATGTGATTGAATCCAAAAAAAGTTTTAACGAAATTACCAAATGCATTTGTTTCATTTGGATGATGTCACATAATGCTATAGTAGTTCATGGGGAAAATAACTGAATTTTAGAATTTGTTTGATAATTCCAATTCAGATAACAAATGGATCCGAATTCTGTTCCATTTGTAAAATTTGGATGCACATGATGCAAGTCGATATTGTTTAATTACATCATGCAATTTCTCTTGGTGGGTTAGACTAGCGACCGAAAATATTGAATCGTTCTGATTCAAATCCACCCAATTCGATGGTATATTGAATATATACATATATATGCTGTGAAAAAATATTTGCTCCTTCCTGATTTTTGTTTGCCTATTTATGACACTTAAATGACTCAGATTATCAAACAAATTTTAATATTATGCAAAGATAACCCGAGCAAATACAAAATGCAGTTTTTAAATGAGGATTTAATTTATTAATGGAAAAAAGCTGTCCAAACTTACTTGGCCCTATGTGAAAAAGTAATTGCCCCCTAAACCTAATAACTGGTTGTGCCACCCTTGGCAGGAAGAAATGCAATCAAGTGTTTGCAGTAACTGGCAGTAAGTCTTTCACATTGCTGTGGAGGCCCACTCTTCTTTGCAGAATTGTTTTAATTCAGCCACATTGGAGGGTTTTCAAGCATGAATGGCCTGTTTAGGGTCATGCCACAGCATCTCAATCAGATTTTGACTAGGCCATCATGCTACCACCACCATGTTTGACTGTTGGTATGATGATCTTTTTTATGAAATGCTGTGTTAGTTTTATGCCAGATATAATGAGATGCACACCTTCCAAAAAATTTAACTTTGTCTCATCAGTCCACAGAATGTTTGCCCAAAAGTCTTGGGGATAATCAAGATTTTTTTTTTGGCAAATGTGAGATGAGCCTTTGTGTTCTTTTTTGTCAGCAGTGGCTTTCATCTTGAAACTCTCCCATGGATGCCACTTTTGTCCAGTATCTTTCTTATTGTTGAATCATGAACTCTTACCTTAAGTGAGGCATACAGTTCTTTAGATGCTGTTCTGGGTTCTTTTATGACCTCTTGGATGAGTCTTCATTGTACTCTTGGAGTAATGTTGGTAGGCCATCTACTCCTGGCAAGGTTCACCACTGTTCCAAGTTTTCTCCATTTGTGGATAATGGCTCTCACTGTGGTTCACTTGAGTCCCAAACCCTTTGAAATGGATTTGAAACCCCTTTCAGACTGTTACATGTCAATTACTTTGTTTCTCATCTGTTCTTGAATTTTTTTGGTTCATGGCATGGTGTGTCTTTTTTAGATCTTTTAGCATGCTTTACAGGTACTTTGTCATACAGCTTCTATTTAAATGATTTATTGATTCAAAAGGTCTAGCAGGAATCAGACCTGGGTGTGGCAAGTGAAATTTAACTCAGCTTGTGATTAATCACAGTTCATTCATGATTTAGCAGAGAAGGGGGGGGGGGCACAATTACTTTTTCACATTGGGTCAGGCAGGTTTTGACAGCTTTTTTTCCTTTAATAAATAAAATCATTATTTAAAAGCTGCATTTTGTATTTACTTGGGTAATCTTTGTGTAATATTAAAATTTGTTTGATGATTCCAATTATTTAAGTGTGACAAATATGCAAAAAGGAAAATCAGGAAGGGGTCAAATAATTTTTCACTTTGTGTAGCAATCTTCTGGAAAAACTGCAAAAATATTGGAAACCATTTAGACAAATGGATATACAAATGCCAAAGATGCAAAACAAATTGGTTCAACATAAAGAATATGATGAAACAAAATTCTTCAATGAATAAATGCATCCAAAACTAAAGGAGAATTTCCAGCATGCACATGTCTAATGATGCCTCCTCACGTCCTGTTTCAACCCTAAAAAGGCTGGACTACCACACCAAAACCACATCACGTTCAGCAGCAGTACTGCCCACCAAATGCGAAATATGGTTTCATTTTTGCTATGGCCTTGGCATGTGTAGAACTTTGAATGACTACGTGTCCTTGTATGGGTATGAGGTTGAAGGAGAGTAAGACAGATGGCTCAACTGCTTACTTTTACTGCCGCCTGGCCCCCTGGGTCTGAACGAACCCCTCCTTGAGAAAAGCTGTAGCATCAAGTGCCCTTTGCTCACACCTACTTTTTCAAACTATGTCAAAATATTTATTTTTGAAGATATGAATCAAAGTGCTAGAACAAGAGTTAGCAAATACTGTAAATGTAGATCACATGTATTTGTTAATTATTTGATTAATTCTTCTTCTTATTCTTTCTTAATTATTTGAGAATTATTACATTGTATCATATATATTTCCTATGCTTCTCAGTTCCATCTAGTGGCATAACAGCGTCCATAATAAAAGAACATTCGTTCTGAAGAGAAAATAGCTAAAAGAACATTCATTTTTGCCCAATTTGCACAAACAAATGTACATGCAGATTGGCCATATGAATGGCTATGTGATTTTTTTGATGTATGAAAAATGTATCAAAAGGGTGACATTTCCAATTGTTATTTTATTGTCTAGATCTGAACATAAATGAAGGAAATATACAAGTAAGAATAAATACTGACACATAGAAGTTAACACTAGCAATTAGTAAACAGTGTATGTGCACAGTCTGATGAATGTTTAATGATGTTGATCACATTATACAACTAAGGAACAGAACACAGTAGCCCTAATTGCACTGTGACATATGATACAGAAGGATTTAATGAAATGTCCAACAGTAATTAGCCACTTACAGGAGCTGTGATCATGCAATGCTTTAATGTGAAGATTGTACCTTATGATACAACATTGTCTGACTAGTGTGAAATGGTAGACAGAGGAAAGAATGGAGAACATGCAAGGCAGCATTGGTGAGGCTATGAAAAGACACTAGGAGCTATAAATGCTG